AGTCAGAATGCAGCACACTTGGTTTCTTTGGCACCTGGGACAGCTGGACAGGTCAACCCTTCAGAGTCAGAATGCAGCACACTTGGTTTCTTTGGGACCTGGGACAGCTGGACAGGTCAACCCTTTCTGGCTAGACCATGGGGGAAAAGAGCCATCTCAGGTGTAGAACCCACAAGCACTGCTGGAGACTCTGGAACTCCACAGCTGCAGAGAATAATAACCTAGAAATTTTTTCTTGATACTTAAAAATTTTTTTGTTGTTGGTTTTGTTTGTTTGTTTGTTTTGAGACAGGGTCTTACTCTGTCACCCTGACTGAAGTGTGGTGGTGTCATCTTAGCTTACAGCAACTTCAATCTCAAGCTCAAGCCATCTTCCTGCCTAAGCTTCCCAAGTAGCAGGGACCACAGGACACTACACCTGGTTGATTTTTCTGTTTTTGTAGAGCTGGGGTCTTGCTTCTTGCTCAGGCTGGCCTTGACCTCTTGATCTCAAGCAATCCTCCCACCTTGGTCTCTCAGAGAACTAGGATTACAGGTGTGAGCCACTGTGCCCAGGCAAAAAAAATTGTTTGTTTGTTTGTTTTTAAAAAACTCTTGCTCTTATAATGGGCAGACCAGTACAGCTAGAGTAAAATGATCTAGCCTCTTCCACCGCAGGCTAGATTTGGAAAACATACAAAAAAGAAGTGCAAATTCCAGCTCTCCTCCCTGCAAAACCACCCTAATTTTGCCTGATTTGTGAGGACTGATTCTCAACAGTTCTGAACTAGCTGGGTGTTTAGATAACATTTTGCTTCTATTGAACTGTGGGGATGAGGCTGTATTCCACTTGAGTGGCTGCCCAGATCCTTCAACATCGTGAGTCAAAGCTCTGCTTTTGGCTCTTCTAACCCTTCCCTCCCCGCCTTTTGCAGCTGGCACACAAGTGTACTTCACAGTATAATTTTACAAAAGGTCAAAAATGAACTGTCTTCCCCTTTTGAGAGTCGGATCCAGTGTGCATAACCTTCACGGCTGTTTTCCCTCCTTTGGTTTTGCAGCCTGAGAAAATGGCATATAACATACCTAACCAAAGACAGCGGACTTTGTCAACTACTGGAGAAGCTCTGTATGAAATCCTTGGTCTGCATAAGGGAGCATCAAATGAAGAAATTAAGAAAACCTACAGGTACAGACGAAGTTCAGTGATGACATTGCCTGTGCTACTAGTGACAGTTACTTTGTAATTGGCAGGTGCCTCCAATTAAAGACATAAGCTTCTTGCTAAGATCAGGTAGTCTAAATTTTGGACCCCGTGTTTCCTGGGCTACAACATATCCAGGCATGACATTGATTTTATGAAGGAACC